TTTGCAACAGCTTTAGCTGCCAGGCAGCTGAGAGCAGCCGCCAGCACAGAGGGGTCAGGAGGCGTCCTGAGGGACGCCCTCACCCCTGACCTTCATCCCGTAGCTCTTTGCTGTCGTGGATGACATAAAAGAAGAACACAGTGAGACCTTATAGGATGTGATCGGCCCTGCTCCGCTTCCTTAAAGCAGTCAGAAGCCCTGATATTTGTCACCAGGGAAAAGCAGGAAATGCAGACGGTGGACGGGGGAATGATTTCATGGGTTGAAAATTGAGGACATCACAAGGGTTCCTACAACCTTTGTTGACACATATGTAGCAGAAGTTATTATTTCCCAGTCTCTGAGAGAGTTCTCAATTTCTCCTTCTCTCTGTTGGTCTTCCTCTCCCCTTCCATCCATCCGGTATATGTGTAGGAGGGATAAAGGTCGTCCTTTTGTCATCAAAACTCCAGATTAGTTTTGCCTCGGTGCATCTGACTCTCCGCTTTATCACTGTGGCCAGAGGAGCCACAAGGTTCAGCTCACCCCTCTGCAAAGTAATAACTCCTACCAGCCACTATTCTATTCTCTGCTGCTATCTGCTGCACTACTATTACTACTCCATTCTGAGGTGGGGGGGATTATTTTCGTGGCACCTGCTTTATTGGGCTGTATAGTAAAGACTGACAAGGAGAAGGGGGAACGGGAGGATATGACATACGACATACAGTTTGTGTCACAAGCCACCATCAAACTGACAAAGTTGTAAGAGTCGCTTGATCCACTGAGGCCCAGAGCAGAGCTAAATGAGCTGCTGACAGCATGTCTCCAGCCTATCTGGCTTTTATTTTATTATTTGTGCATTGATGTGGGGTTTTTTTTTGTAATTTGATGACTTGGGGATTTTGCTGAAAGTCAGTTTGGCTAATATCACAGCAGACTCCACAACAAGACGGCGAAATGAAGGATATTATTGAAATGTTTCCTCTGGCTTTCGGCGCTGTGAACGACTGCAAGTAAGACAGAAAAAGCTGCCAACGGGGAACGGAGATCTTCTGAGGATTACGTAAAAGTGGCATGTGATTTAGACAAGTGTCTGCAAGAGCATGAATGCAGCGCGAGATGATTACACCGTCAATTAGAGCGCATGAATTAGCGTACAGCCTGTCCACTCTTGCAGGCGTTTGTTAACCTTCTCCCCTCCATGTAAACACCGGTCCCCTCTGCCTTCAGCTACAGAGACTGCCAGGTCAGAGGTCAGCAGGGCTACATCAAGGTCGCTGACAGTTTTCAGAGCAATGATGCTCTCTGTTTCCGTCTTAATGGTCTTAATGGTCTTAGCTTTCAGTTCAGCTCATTGAAATCTTCAATTTTCCTTCCTTTTTTAAATCTGTTCATTCTGTTAAATCAAGTTAATTGATCCACTATTAGCTCTTGAACCTAAAATAGCATTCTGATCGTTTCCTTCCTGATTTGTTTTTTTTTTACACTTGTGACATGAAGAAACGCCGGATTGATTTAAAAAAACGTTTTATTTTAAATCTTGCACACCTCGAAAGCCGAGGATCCGTTGAGCTGGAAACATGCAGCAGGAACTGTGTCACACACACTGACTTAGGAAAGCAAGGCCCTTTCAAAAGAAAACATAATTGCTCCTAAACACAGCTCACAGTTAGCCTTTTGCTTGGTTCTTTTTTTCCAAGGAATGAAGCTTCAGGTGTGTTCACTACTTTACAAAATTAACAGTCTGAATCCCACTTATGTTTTTCCATACAAGAGTATGGGATACTGTAATATTTCAAATATATATGAAAAAAAATGCCATTTTGAGAAAATAACTAATTTCGAGTTAGCTCTGCCAATTAGGAAGCTTTGTGAAGTTACATCATTTCCTTGTTACCCGGAAGCAGAAAGCTAAAGGCATCCACTGTCCAACAGTTCAACATGAACATGTTGATTCCAAACCTTCATGCTATGTTATCGTTCACTAGAAGGCATTCAAAGCTGAAGAACGTGGTGCCAGTCTGTTCACATTGGTAGCTCACTGATCCTGTCACTATTCGAGTGCTCGTGCATATGCGTCATCTGCTTCTGGGAAAAGGGCATCCTTCATGGAGCGTCCTGACTGGCAGAGCTGATGCAAAAGAAATCAGAATTTCAAAATATTAAGGCAAATTGTTGACATACCTAACTTGAAGCTTGAGCTTCCACAGGAATGAGCTGAGTTGATGACCTAAACAGTTGAGTTACATCATAGATTGGCCAATTTCCACGGATACCCTGTCAAGCTTTCCGGGTCAGGATACCTTATCCAAACATCCATAGTTCATCCATAGTTCTTACCTGAGTCCCGTGGATTCTGAATTCATGGCAGCATAACATTTGCGAGTGCACAGCCCATCACTTTCCTTTTGGATGGAGTTTTCATTCTTATTGAATGGTGTCTTTTAGAGTTTATATTATCAGGGTGCAGAGGAACAGTGAGAACAGGCACACTGTACAGAGCTCAGCTGCTTGTAATTGTATTGGTATGCACAGACACTTGCATGAAGAATGCACTAGACAACTAGTCAGACAGTGTACTTACAGTCCAATGCGCACGTGCACACACACACACACACGTAGACAAACGCAGAAAAAAAACACATGCGCACGCTAAGCCAAATGTGGACATGCCAAACAGAGACGAACACAAATCAAAACAAAGCATGCAAACACAAAGGAGATCCAGCGAATGAAGAAGACAGAGAGAATAGCACAGTCCCATCTGTCAAACAAATGTGAGGATGCTTCTAGCACGTGCGCGCGCGCACACTCGCAGCAAGCGTTATTTAGCCTGAACTTGAGCGATAGCTGCCTTTGTCCTTTAGCAGTTGGTCCTGAGGGCTTCGCAGTAGAAGTTGCATGAAAGTTTGTTTAGAGCCAAGCAAGTGTGTTAAGCTTTATGAGAGCCCATGGGAGACATGCTAGCACACACACACATGCATCCCCTCATACACACACATGCACACTCAGGCACGAGGCTTGGGCGGCAGCTCGCGATGGCCCCAACCAACAGTGAGGAGTTTGTTGTCATAGCAACAGTAAAATGAGATGACTTTACTGTCAGCCGTAATGTTTCATGGCCCCCTTGCCGCTATGGCAACATAACAAGGAGGAGGAAGAGGAGACAGAGAGAAAGAGAGCATCTGAGCCATCTCTGCATTCCGGTGGACTCCTACTAGGAACAATGTCACTCCGATGCCCTTTCTTCCTTCTCAAGACAAACACACACATGCACCGTGACAAGCCTGTCAAACACACGCGTAAATACGCACACCTTGAAAAGCCTGTCAAGCACTCTTCCCACCTCGCCCATCCCTTTGATTGTGCTCTCACTATTCTCAGCTATCGTCACCGGGGCAATTTGAATTCATTATGCTCAATGTCAATATTGGTGCAGCAACACTGTACCTTCAGACAGGTACAGCTTGTTGAATGAGCGCGCGTGCTGTCAAATAGCGCGAGGACTGGAAAAGAGGGACGAGAGAGAGAAGAGAGAAACGAGATCAAAGCTTCGCCAAGCGTGTTCCTGCGCCCGTGGAGACCGTTAGATGGAGCGGCGAGGTGACTGTAGGCTGGCCGGCTATACGTGGAGCAAGCGCTATACATCACCGTTCTATATTTAGCGCCGTCCTTCCGCTGCAGCCCGTCGGCACCGTTAAAGAGAGTTATCTGCGCTGGGAGAAAAGTGAGAAAAGGGCGAGATGGGAGGGAGACGCAGCAGAGGAGAAAAGGAGATGAGTTGTTTTGCTCTGTTGCCATGGCGACGCAGCGGGCCAAAGCTGTAGCGAGCTGACAGTTGTCACCGTGCAACAACTCGCCACGGGTGACAGCTGTCAGTCAATCATCCAGAGTGAGGGGACAGATCGGCTGATGATCACCTTGGATTAGAGAGCGATCGCACCACACGGGGGCCGCCCAGAACGTATCTCCACTTAATCCCCCAGTCCTAATGGTGTGTGTGTGTGTGTGTGTGTGTGTGTGTGTGTGTGTGTGTGTGTGTGTGTGTGTGCGCGCGCGTTCATCTGCTTTTACATTCACAACCTTTTAGAACCCCTGCTCGTGTTTGCATGTTCATCCGGACCTGTGCAGATTAGATTTAGATTTGCATTTTCACGTGTGTGTGTGTGTGTGTGTGTGTGTGTGTCTCGTCTCTGAAACGTGTTGAGAGCGAGCGGAGCAGATTACATTTTTGCTGTAGCCGCTGCCTGGGTCCTTCCCACAGCTGTCTGTGCTAGAGGACAATCAAAGGCCCGGTTGCGAGCCTTCTGATTGTGGTGTGATACTCAGACCCGTTCCCCTTCAATTACGGCGCTCTGCCTGCGTGTAACGAGCACAGCATCGCTCTTATGTTAGCAGAATAACGGTCTGATTAGAATAGGGATAGATTTGAACTCACGCTGTAATTTGTTTTGCTCTTTTCTTTGCAAATTTTCCCATCGCATCCCTATCACATCCTGCTGTGGAACTAAGTCTGACCGTCGGACTCCATTTCTAATGTTTCAAATCCACCAGATAAAGGGTTTTTTCTTCTTCTGCACTCATTTGTCGCAGCACGTTTGACAATTACATTTTCTCCTGCTGGAGAGATGTTAAATCACCAGCGATTCTGCGACCCCACAACTATAAGACCTTTAACAGTACTCATATGTTATGACAGCAACCCCATGTAATGTCAATACTTTGCTGTTACGCTAGTAATTAGAGGGTAGTTGTACAAGGCAGGATTTCCTCAACCGATGAAGCACTAAATTTGCTGTTTCAGTCAGAAGTGGATAGAAAGCCCAGGAGAGAAATGATGATGTATACTTTCTCCTTCAGATCTAACGCAGCCTAATTGGGAATGTGGTCAAAATCTTGTTACGTGCCTCCACCCTTTGGCCTTTAACAAAAATGAATGATCCAACAGTTTCATCAGCTAATGTTGTTTCTTTTCTCTCCTGCTCCCCCCCAAAACCCCTCTTTTCTGCTGCCTACAGGAGCGAGCCCTGGGCTGGATGGGACCCACCATGCCCCCCAGTAAAAAGGCCCAGAGCCCCAGTAGTGGAGCTAGTGCCTCACAGGGCATGAGCCCGCCGTACCGGCAAGGTGACGCCGCCACGGCGGCGTCTGAAGCCGAGGCGGCTGACCTCTCCCTTTCCCTGTCCGCCTCCTTCTCCAAGGCCGAAGACGAAGAGCTCACCAGCCTCTCCTGGCTCCACGAGAGCACGGACCTCCTCAACAGCTTCAGCCATTCTGGGCTTCGTAGCGTCTCCCCTCTGCAGGACCCCGATGGCCAGCACCCTCGCTCGCCCTCCTCCTCGTCTCCCTCCCCAGACGACCCCCTGCTCGGTGACGCACACTCAGCGTACGACTTGACGGCGGGGGCCAACCGAAAACCTCCGTACTCCTTCAGCTGCCTGATTTTCATGGCCATCGAGGATGCGCCAAACAAGCGGCTGCCGGTGAAGGATATCTACGGCTGGATTCTGGAGCACTTCCCTTACTTTGCAAGCGCCCCCACAGGCTGGAAGAACTCAGTGCGCCACAACCTGTCGCTCAACAAGTGCTTCAAGAAGGTGGATAAAGATCGCAGCCAGGTAAAGAACTTCAACATTACTCTGACGAATGTTGCATAATCGCTCCTTCCAAGGTCGTTTGGAAAACGAGGTTTATTGTTGAGTCATTGACTTCATCAGATGATGAATTTGCATGATTTCAGTGACTTAAAAACTGAATTGCCAATCAAATCTGATACAAAACTGCTCACAATTTTCATTGAATCATCTCTTTGTTTCCACATGCATGCACAAAATTACACAAGATTATCACGAGGATTATTTGTTTCCCAGTTTGACTGCCGGTGCTGTACTTCGGGAGAACAAATGGGACTGTCAGGACAGTTAGCAGTAAATTGTGCATCCGCTTGATTTAAATGTTCTCCTTCCTAAATTTTGCACTTTGAGAAAGAAACTCCCAGAAATACAGATGCTGCCTGTGCTGTCTTTGGAAATGCACGCAGTACTTTTTTGATGCTCATTTTGTGCAATTAATCTTTGCTCAATAGCTCGAACATGATTTGCTCAGCTCAGCAAGCACCATAGAAAGCATTGATTTATGCACATGAAAAGGCTCAACACTGCCAACTAGTGTTTTGGATGCGGAATTACAGCACTCCGAAGTCCTGTAAAACATTCGAGATGGTAGCTGGCAGGTTAGACTTGATAAGGCAGAGCCACGATGGTGTGTATGCATGCACTGATTGCATGTGGAATAACATGCTAGCCTAGTGAAAGCTGTAGTAGTGAAGAGCTGGATATAGATTGTTCGTGATCCAGCTATCATGCCTTTCCATTTCATGAATAAAAATAAAAAAAACGAGTTATGAATCGAAACTGTGCCCTCAAACATGGATTATGGATTTGGAGAACCGTTTCATCCTTACTCCTCATTCTTTTCCTAATCTATATCGTATATACCTGTGATGTACAGCATCACTGTAGCCAGATGGTAAACACAGGCCCATTATTCGCTCTCTCATGTGTGGTTATAGCTTATTTCACAGCCAGACAGTTATCAGCGAGT